CTTAAGAATTGTGTTGTTTCAACTTATTTTTAATACGCAAATTGAACAAGCAAAGGTCATTATTTCAGTGTGGCTAAAAATTCAAGCTAAAACTAAGATGGAGTTTATGTATGTTTATGAGGGGATTTATGTAATTGAAAGAATCTCTGTCCGTTTCCCATCTTATCCGTTAACACCATGTACGGTGTGTTACGCAGTGACAGTTTTCATTGACGTCTGTGCACATACACACACACTCACTCACACACACACACACACACACGCACTCGACAGGATGCACGTGGGAGGAGAGAAAACGCCGGAGAGACGGCATGAATAGGAGTAGGTGGATGGAGAAATCTACTTTCCCCTTTATTCCTCCTGCTCTCCCTCTCATCCTCAATCTCTTACCTGTTATGCAAGGCACTGCCTACTCTCAGCATCACAGAAAGAGTGTCTTCATTTCCAACCCTGCCAAAAATACACCCGTTCTGTCTGAACTCCTGCCACACACATATGCTAATAGCAGGCATACTCATAAAAAGGCTATTACAGATGCGCCTTGTCTTCATTAGATTGCATTACTGCTTTTATATAACTGCGGATGATGAACAGCTTGTGCACACACACACACACACACAAGAAAAAAATGAAGTTAACGCTAAATCCACACACTGCGTAGACTGACTGACTGACTGACTGACTTGAACGCAGATCTGTTGACAGAGTCCAAGTCAGCTTCTAGTCCAATTTCGTGAGCCGTAGCTCCTTCTGCCTGAAGATTTAAAGTCTCTGAAATGTTTGAAAGGATTCAGCATCACCTCCTTCAGCTCCAGATGGACAAACTGAAGCTGAGAGCCAGAGAGAGAGACGTTTCTAAGCTCTTCTAGTCCAGGTTTACTGTGCAGCTGTGAGTACAAACACTGTCCCAGCAGGTTTTTTAGAGATTAACAGCTTCAGCAAAGGGTCAGAGGTCATCAGAGCTTTTTTTTATTTCGGTTATCAACTAGTCCTTCAGATGCTTAAAGGGCACCTACGGTAAAAAATCTACTTTTCAAGCTGTTTGGACAGACATGTGTGCATATATAGTGTATAGACTGTCATATTGGGGTGATATAAACAAACACAGTCCTTTTTTTTCAATTTAACAACATAAAAACGGTGGAACAATTGGAGCGGTTTTCAGACCGACCACAACTTTACGTAGGAGAGCGGTCCCCCCGCCCACCAATATTGATTGACAGCCATCATGATCATATCCTCAGTTTCTTGTTTCACGTCCGCCATTTTCAGCGTGTGAGTCAAAGCGATATCGCTAAAGGAACACCCTTGCTCTATTTTCAGCTGAAAGGCTCATTGGGCTCAACACAAGATCAATTTTCTCCACATTATCGATCTGATTGGAGTTATTGCTTATACTTTTTGCGTGGTGCGGCGCAGTGCATTGTGGAGTTCTGGGCATGGGTTTTTGTCGGGGAGCACGCGGCGGAGCTTCGGGTTGGCGGCTCGGCGGCCGCGGCGCTGTTGTGTTTGCCCTGGTGGAGGCCTGTGTTTGGAGTTCTGGAATGCGTGGCGCGACGATTCGGGACACTTCATGGGGGGGATGCAGCTGTAGATGTGTAGTTTTTAAAAGCTCTGTTCTTGTAACGTGTTTTGTTATTACATTGCTCTGACCTCCGAATAGACACTTTGTAAATAAACATGTCTTGTTTTGATCATAAAATTATAACATTATTAAAATACATCATCATGATTTTAGAATATTTGCTCAAGTCAGGAATCAAACTCGGGCTTCAAAATCGCTGTAGTCACGTGACCTGATGTTTCGAAATACTTTAGTCACGTGTCCTGGGTGTTTTGAATCCCCATAGTCACGTGACCTGGGTGTTTCGGATCATGCTTTGGCGCAGTGTTTTGAAACACTTGCGCTTTGGGATCTCCACACTGTTTCGAGACATCAGTTTCGGAATATCCTCATGATACCATTTGCTCTGGTTGACCATTGCCTGCCAGACGAGGATGTAAACAAACTGCGTTTGAACCTCCGTAAAAACAATAGTAAACAAACACTCAAAACATTACTTAAATGTTGTAAATTTACATTTGTAACAATGACAAAAGTAATATGTATGTATCTATAATTTAAATTATTATTACATCTAATAATGCAATTTTTAAAAAGCTTCCAAAAGGGAGTTTTCAGTAAGGATGCCATCAAATTCCCAGTTTGTGATGACCAATCTGCACATTTTGTAGATTTCTCTTATCATCCCAGATATTTGTTTTAATTCAACCATAAGTGCCCTGCGAAGTGGACTCCACAAGATATTCTGCCATGATTCCAGTTCAAATGGATGTTTCAATGAAAAGGCATTTTAGTGATATGTGAACTTAAAGAGATAGTTCACGCAAATATAAAAATTGACTCAATGTTTAGTTATACCCTCAAGTGTTTCTAAAGCTTTTTTGACCAATCAGATGCTCTATATTAAGAGAATGCCCCTATATGTCCCCTAAATGAACATAACCAATGGATAATAAAAAAATAATAATAAATGAGCGTGCACAAACATTGGTTATATCGTGTCCTGCACTTGGTGTGGCAATGCACAAATATTCTATCATTTCTCCAGACATATTAGTTCTCATCATTTTCATGATTTTGTATTTATATGTTTAAGAAGGTCAAGATATTGAGCATGCAAATTCGGCTGACTCTCTACTCTGGAAATCTCAAGAACTACTGGCCCCAGTTTAGAGCCTGCTCTCTGACCCAATTACTGTCATAAGAATAAAAATGATTAAGCAATTAATTTCACCCCACCAAGTCTCTCTCACACTCACGAGAGTGGCACATGAACGAAATTCACATGGCTCTCAATCATAGGCCTTCCAACGCACACAAACACACACACACACACACACACACATACAGTACAATAACCTCAATACACCCCCACACACACTCTCCTGCACTCCTCTACTAGCACTCACGTTTCAAACGCTCACACGTGTCCAAAAGAACACAATACAACAGAGGTCGCAAAATTGGTCAGATCAATATTAGATGCACTGTTATGTTTTTCCCACACACCTTAAAACGAATCATCTGAATGATTCACTGCATCCGTAAAGAGCAGGCAAGCAAAGAACCATTCGTTGGTGTCATAAACATTTTTAAAATCGAAAGAATTTGTTTGTTTTATAGAGAAGCTTCTGTGGATTTTAAAGTTTTAAAGGGATGTCATAGAAAAAGCATTTTTGGTTCCCCAAAAACCTTACATTCAGGTATTATTCAAGGAACCATTTATTTCTTAGTGCAAAGCAATTTCTAATTATTAAATAACCTTTTTGCACAATAAAGGTGCTGTATGTAAGTGTTTGACTCTTCTAAATATACCATAATATGTTTGTAGATATTTAAGAAACATGTCAAGTGAACATTCTTGTTTATCTGAAAAACAATCCTGAAGATAAATATTCTGCTTTGAAAATGCAAGTTATGTGCCAGGACGGCTGTATTTGTTTTGGTTCTTTTAGCCCGCCCACTGCCAGTTTAGCCAATTTTATTTCAGCACCTAGGTTGCCTTGTTGGGAAAAAAATGCATTTTTCATTAACTCATTCATTTAGAAAGGCTCTCAAAGCATGCGTCTGTGACCGAAATGTGACCTCCGGTGGACAGTAGCAGAATCCGAAATGAGATGCAGATTCAGAGTTCCATATGAGGGTTTTAATTAGCAAATAATCTATTTATTACAAGCGCAAACATTACATGAGCAGGTTACATAGTAACCCTGTGTCCTAACAACATGCTACGGGACGAGATTTGCAGTCTTGCAGTGATAAGCAATTTGGTTGTTTGTAACAGACAAAACATGACAGAAATTTAAATACAGCCATTCAAAATCACAGAATATGCACAGACTTATGAAATGGTAAGGTTTATAAACTAATTAATACATATTAAACCTCTTTAAGATTAATGTACATGGTGAATCACTGACCTGTTGGTTTGCACTGATTCACAGTTCTTAAAGGTTTATTTTATTTTCAAGATGTGAGGTGAACTATCTGCTGCTGCTTTCAGTATATGGCAATAAATGTCATGTAAAATGCCATTCAGACTCACATTATTAGCATTTAACACTGACTAAAGCATATGATGTGTACCTGAGGTGATCATTGTTAGTTTTCTGTTGTTTAGCTGTGAGAAATAGAAGCCATTTCTATTATATAAATTTGACGTGTTGATTATAACAAAAACTTCTTTTAATATGGAAAATATTCCTTCTATCATGTGCCGCTGCTCTTATTTAGAACACGGTTTAAATCAGCCTTTAGGCTTGATTGTCAGACTCGCTCCTGTTGGGCATCGATCTGGCAACCTGCTCTTGCATTTGTTTTGATCCCGGATTGTAATATCTAGATCAGGGATCACCAAACCTGTTCCTGGAGGTCCGGCGTCCTGCAGATTTTAGCTCCAACCCTAATTAAACAAACCTGAACAAGCTAATCAAGGTCGTACTAGGTATACTTGAAATACCCAAACAGGTGTGTTAAGGGAAGTTGAAGCTAAACCCTGCAGGGCACCGGACCTCCAGGAACGAGATTGGTGACCCTTGATCTATATAGATCAATCACTGGGTGTCAAACTTACATACTGCACATTTAAAGAACCTTTTGTTGAATTGAAATGTTCAGTGGATGTTAAATATTCTTTGTGTAAGGATCAATGCCAATAATTTTTTATTTTTAAGATTGAAGATGCCAGGTAATAAATAACCTTTATATTTGTGAACATCATCAGTCTTCTTTACAACTGCTCATCTGAGTTCAGAGTTTTTCCATTTATTTATGCTTTTGAATTGTGTGATGGGACATTACAAAGTGTCCAAGTATGCAATTATGGGCAATACATAGTTCAACTAGCGTGGGATTAACAGTTTTTTTATTTATTTATTTATTTTTTTTTTATGGAAGAAGAATCATTTTTGTTCTCCCAAAGACCCGAATTAGTTCTGCTTATTAGTCGGATTTCAACTACACTGATTATCCTTTTTCACTATACAGTAAAGAGCCTTTCAGAACTGTGTTTTCAATTCCCAAAACTGACTTTAGCGCTCTTATCTCAGAGGGTACAGATCGAATCTGGCGGAAAATGTTGAACAGATTTTCTCTTTGGTACTATTTCTCTATCTGCCCCCTCTTTGGTTACCATGGAAATTCAGCTGAAGGCAATTATCATCCCCCAGCAATTAGGAGAGAACATTTCAGATTTAGCTCCAACATTTTCTGCTGTCAAACACTACAGCTGAACACTGACTCGTGACAATAAACACACCTTTGCCTAAACGTTGAGGGATAGGAAAATCAGCCGCGTTGTGGGAGCAGGTGCACCAACACAAACATTGGCTGTGTCTCAAATTCATCAAGTACCTCTGCCACACTTCGCATCATCAGCATGATTGGATTCCCGGAGCTCATCACATAACTGACAGCGATTTTATGCAGTAGCTGTTGGCGCTCGTGCACCAGTGCTGGAGTCAGCCTACGCCCACCGAATTTATACCGCCCCTTCCTCTATCCTCCGGTGCACAGGACGGAGAGCGCGAAGGAGACGCGTCCGCACAGAGCCGCTGCTGTCGCCGGGGATATTCCGTGTTTGTTTATAGGAAGTCTCCGATTCCAGTTTGAAAGACAAAATGGATGAAATGGAAGAGGAGTTAAAATGCCCGGTGTGCGGCTCATTTTTCCGCGAGCCGATCATCCTGCCCTGCTCGCATAATATTTGCCTGGCCTGCGCGAGAAACATCCTGGTACAGACGCCCGACGCCGAATCCCCGCAAAGCAGCCGCGCGTCCGGCTCCGGGGTCTCCGATTATGATTACTTAGACCTGGATAAGATGAGTCTGTACAGCGAGGCGGACAGCGGATACGGCTCTTACGGCGGGTTCGTGAGCGCACCGACCACCCCTTGCCAGAAGTCCCCCAACGGCGTGCGTGTTTTCCCTCCTTCAATGCCTCCTCCACAGCAGGCGCAACACCACCTGCTGCCTCACACCGGCGTCCTGCCGCCAGTCCCACGGAACTCCTGCCTCACCTGCCCGCAGTGCCACCGCAGCCTGACGCTGGATGACAGGGGGCTCCGGGGGTTCCCCAAGAACCGCGTTTTGGAGGGGGTGGTGGACCGGTATCAGCAGAGCAAAGCCGCCGCGCTCAAGTGTCAACTGTGCGAAAAGAGCCCCCGCGAGGCGACTGTCATGTGCGAGCAGTGCGACGTGTTTTATTGCGACCCCTGCCGCCTCCGGTGCCACCCTCCCCGAGGCCCGTTGGCCAAGCACCGGCTCGTGCCGCCGGCGCAAGGCAGAATCAGCCGCCGCGCGAGCCCGCGGAAAATCTCCACCTGCACCGAGCACGAGCTGGAAAACCTGAGTATGTACTGTGTCCAATGTAAGACCCCCGTGTGCTACCAGTGTCTGGAGGACGGCAAACACTCCACCCATGAGGTCAAAGCGCTGGGAGCCATGTGGAAGCTCCACAAGGTGGGGAAACTGGATGAAGTTATTTATTTACTACAATGTATCCCACATGATGACTAAAGAATGCATCTCCAACTAACTTGTTTGGCCTGGTCTCACTGATGAACACCCTGATTTAGATGTTGCAGCAGGTGTTGTTTTAGCTGGTCTAAACTAGATAAAACCAGCCTAAATGTTTTATTTTCATTAGTTGTAGCAGTCTGTCATGTTTATCTGCCCAAGTTAGAGAGACGGATTGAAGTATTTTATTTATTAGCCAATTCATGCTAGGTGCCAGCTGGCCAAAAAAAGCATGTATCAGTGGTTTCGTAGAACATCTTGGTCTAGATGTTTGGGCAGACCAAACATCGATTACTTTAGCTGGTCCCTAAATTGGTCAGCAAACCTGAGCAGCGTATTTTTTTTTTTCAACAGGCTGAACTTGGTTTTTTTTTATGGCCTTGTTAGTTTAATGGACAGCCCAGTTTAGATGTCTCACAGCCTAGACTGTTCTTGCTTAGCCTGACCACTTGGGCAGTGTCCTAAACCCATTTAAAATTACCTAAAACCAGTCTAAATGTTATCTCTTTTAGTTTAAAGGATCTGCCAGTAAGTCACCCCGCAAAATTTATGAAAACTGATTGGGAATTTAATTTATTTAAAAAATCACTGTAAACCAAATCTTATTGAACTACATAGTTTTACTGGTTTAGGCTGGTCTCAAGAGTTGGACAGGGTTTAAATATCTTACAACCTGGGCAAACTAGTCAGTTTAGCTGGTCAGCAAGCCATCCTGCAGCTTGACCATTGCAAAGTACATTAAAACCTTTTGAAATCATCTAAAACCAGCTTACATGTTTTATATCAGCACATGGTTTAGTGTAAGGAGTCTGTCTGTCATGTGTAGTGCAAGATGGGGAAACTGATTGAGGCTGTTGTACATTAATTAAAAACAATCTCTAATGATTATGACCAAAAACATCTTGAGCTTTAATCTAGCAAACTGGTTTAGCCTGATGGACAACCTGGTTTACACATCTTATACGAGACTGGTCATCAGTTGGTTTAACTGGTCAGCAATGAGGTCTGCTAGTCTGACCAGCTGAAAGTGATTTAATCCTTTTGGAAATGGTTATAAATGTAATTTCCAGTTGGCTGGGGGCTCTGCTTTTATTATAAAGGGTCTGTCATGTTTAGTGCAGTAAGACTTGTCACTGTGATCGGTGAGACACCGCCAGTCTAATTAAAACACAGCGCACGACACAACCAGCCATGATTCAGGCCAAATGAAAAACACCAGCTCTCCAGCTTAGATTGCAGATACAATCCAAAGCAATTGAAAATCAAGTATAAAAGACAAACATATACATGGCTGGTGTGGACTTTAAGGCTTCTGTGATCATACAGTGCAAGTTCTAAACATGTGCCAATATTCAATATATCATGATAACGAACATACACAATATCGATATCATGGACACTTCAAATTACAATGAATAACTATTGACTAGTTGTGTTAGAAGTTGTTTTTAACTGCACCAAATGCAAACTTAAGAAGACTTAATAAGTGATTTACAGTATTTCACCATTCTCAGGTTAATCTAGCCTACAACAGTGAAAATTCTGTGACTGTTTGAAGATATTTAGTTTAAGTCTGTACATTAAGGCTCCATTTGTTAACATCAGTTACTTTAACGTCAATTTAATGACAACAAAAGCATTTATTAAGCTTTAGTTGATGTTAATTTCTTAGTAATGCCTAATAGTACTTTAAAATCAGAAGTCAGTATCAGTTTATTAAATAAAGTTAATAACTAATAAAATTCAGGTTAACATATAACTATAATATGGTATTTCTCACTGTTTATGTTAATGCATTAACTAACATTTACTAATGAGCAGTGGTGTAAAGTATAAAATTACAAATACTGAAGCTACTGTAATTGAGTAGTTTTTCTCGGAAATTGTAATTTACTCAGTAGTTTTAAAAATGTGTACTTTTACTTTCACTTGAGTACAATTTTAGTGCCATCGGTACTTTGACTCCACTACTTTCCTTCAACCTGCAGCCACTACTTTATTATTTCCTGTCTATGGGGATTAGAAAATTCAGTCCTGTGATTCCTGTCCAATCAAATCGCACACAGAAGGTAAAACGCATCCTAATGAACTACCTCAAGACATGGGCGATTTATAATTGCAGCAAACTGTTTGGAAGCATTAAAAAGTGTCCAAAAAAATGTTCAAAATCTTTACACGCATTGACCCAGAACTTGTTCAGATGCATGTCACTGATGAGAAAATGGTGTATGTTTACTGTATGAAATGGCCTTAAACACTGAGCAGGCACAAGAAGTCCATGTGATGTCAGATTGATGTTGTACCCCAACGTCATGGGAAGGTTGCATTTTGTTTGAAATGAAAATAGGGTTGACGTCAGAACCCAATGTGAGGCAGACGTCAATGTCCAACATCCAACCTAAAATCAACCAAATATCAACGTCTAATGATGTTACTGCTTGATGCTGTGTGGATGTTACCACTATGACATCGATCAGACGTTGGATTTTGGTTGCCATACCTGACGAATAAATATCAGTATTTGACATCAGTGTGATGTTGGTTTAAGATGTTGGCTTGACGTTGGATTTTGGTCACTTTCCAACACAACCTAAAATCAACCAAATATCAACGTCATTTGATGTCGTTATTAGACATCAAAAAACCATTGTCCTTAGACGCTGGCTAGACATGGAATTATTAGTCACCTGACGTCGCAACCTAAATCTAACCTAATATTAACGTGTTATAGCGTTGTCTGCCTGCTGGGCAATAACTAAATACATTACAGAATGTTACGTTTACACACATCCACAATTTACATGTACACACATCAGCTTTTTACAGCGTGATACTCATTACTCACTACTCTTGAGTACTTTTAAAAGGGCTACTGTTTACTCATACTTTGAGTAATATTTACAACAGTTACTTTTACTCTACTTGCACTATTTTTGGGCAAGCAATGGTATAACTTTTCAGCACTCTCACCCCCACTGCTAATGAGACTTTAGTGTTACTTATTGTACTTTATAATTATTTTGCAGTCTAATTTTTTTAAAGCATTTCTTTACTCTGAACATGTATCTCCATTAAAGCAAAACACTAAGTATTATTTATTATACCTGTTAAATTAATCATTTTAGTGTAATGATACCATATGCATTGACAAAAGCTTCCACGATTAATCGCAACAAGAGTATCTGATACCAGCAGAAGCACATTCACTTCTATAAGTGCTCCGCTGAGGTTGTGTCGCTCTCAAAATATCAGTCGATGAGAATTCAGCCAACCCTAATGCTCATCGTAACTGTGTGTGTCTGGATTCCTCCGGGAATGTGTATAACTGTGGCCGGTTGTTGTAGCAACATGATACAGTGAGGCAGAGCTGATTTACTGTCTGTCTGGATGAAGGAGAAAAGAGCGTTTCCAATGGAGAGTCCAGGAATGAGGAAAGAGTCTCTCTCTCTCAGAGTCCTGACGTGTCACCTCATAAACTGTGGATTAATTTAGCAATAAACCCCCTCAGCATGACAACTTCATTTAATCAGAAGCCATAAACATGAGAAAGCAACAGTCAGGGAGATGATGGATCAATAAGCACATGGTTTAACACGCTTACAGGTTACGTCAGTTCATTAATCTCCCTGTTTAGAAAAGTATGCTTTGATATTTGAATTCTGTGATATGATTAGCTGATTTTTAATGTAAGTGTTATAGGCGATTAACAATACATGAATGATATTAAACATACAGTTGAAGTCAGAATTATTAGCCCCCCTTTGATTTTTATTTCCTTTTTTAAATATTTTTCAAATGATGTTTAACAGAGCAAGGAAATTTTCACTGTATCTCTGATAATGTTTTTTCTACTGCAGAAAGTCTTAATTGTTTAATTTCGGCTAGATTAAAAGCAGTTTTAAATTTTTTAAAAAACATTTTAAGGTCAATATTATAAGCCCCTTTAAGCTATTTTTTTTGATAGTCTACAGAACAAACCATTGTTATACAATAACTTGCCTAATTACTCTAACCTGCCTAGTTAAGTTAATTAACCTAGTTAAGCCTTTAAATGTCACTTTAAGCTGTATAGAAGTGTCTTGAAAAATATCTAGTAAAATATTGTTTACTGTCGAAATGACAAAGATAAAGTAAATCAGTTATTAGAAATTAATTATTAAAACTATGTTTAGAAATGTGTTGAAAAAATTGAGGGAAAATAAACATGCAGGCTAATAATTCTGACTTCAACTGTATGTTTAATAACTAAACACTAAGCTCAGCTTTTACTACAAGTGCTATAATTAAAACAGTATGAAAATCGATATTCATTTTTAAGATTTAAACTTAGTGGTTGATGTTTTTAAAGATTCATTTTATTTGAGTGATTTTAATGAAACTGAAGATATGGGTTGAACATAAATATTTATATATATGAATGATCATTAATGATCATATGTTTTTAGAATGTTATAAAATAAAAACATTATCAGACAAAATGCTGTTCTTTATACAGGGGTCTTAAGTGTCCTAAATTGCAAAAACAAAATTTTAGGCCTTAAAAAGTCTTACATTTACTGAAATATTGTGTTGCATGTCTTAAATTATTTTAAACAGGTCTTAATTTTCCTCTATCCAAGTAAAGCTACCCAATCAGACCGACATCCATCCAATCACCAACAATCCATCTTAATAAAATCAGGGAAAGAAGTTTCTCATGATAATAACAGAGCAATTTATCCCTTTATGTTATCTTCCATTCATACAAAAACTATTTACAGAAGTATAAGAACGAGTAGACATAACATGTATAAACAGACATGAAACTGAAGATTTTAGAACAGAAATGCATTTGGTTGAATAGAAGTTATACTCAATCAATTTGGACCAAAAGCCAACCAAAATATATTTTAGATTATTTATGTAATTCCCTCTACAGTAAATATACGTTTAACAATGTTAAA